GTGGGGTGCGGTGGTTCCAGTCCTGGGGTGGGATGTGGGCTCCCCACCACCTTTGACAGCTGCCGGCGCCGCCAGCGCTGGGGAGGGGGAGCAAGCGGGGCTCCGTCCGCCCCCCCCGTGCCGCTGCTCCCCCTAAGTACAACCGGATGCAGCCGAACCCCCCCAGACGGGCAGCGGGGCCAGCCCCGGGCTCGGGAGCGGACTCGGCCGTGCGGAGCCCCGGGGAGCGGGACGCTCACAACTCACACCAGCACCAGCACCCCCCCCCGCGCTCCCCTTTGTCTGCCCCGGCCGACCCCGCCGCGCATCCCCCCGGCCCTACCGGCTTTGCAGGGGTCCTTGTAGTCCAGGGGCTCCGCGTCCTCCTCCTCCTCCTGCTCCAGCACGTAGGAATAGTCCGGGAAGTGCATGGCCCGGGCCAGGAGCAGGCACAGGAGCAGCCCGCAGCTCCGCAGCCCGGCCATGGCTCCGCGGGAGCGGGCGGGCAGCGCCGGCGCCGGCGGCTTTTGGGGCGTTTTGGGGCTTTTCCTTTTTTCCCCCTCCCTCCCCCTCCGCTCCTTTTTTATTTTTTTCTCTCCGCTCCCTCTTTCCCTTTTTTTTTTTTTTTTTCCTCGTTTTTTCCTGTAGGGAAATGGGATCCGCTGGGGGCGGGGTCAGGAGCCGGGCTCGGCCCCTGCAGCCCCGGGCGCAGGGCTGGGAGCGGGGCCAGCGCCGGGGGGGGTCGGCGGGGCCGAGCTGCTGCCGCGGACACGGCCCGGGGCTCCCGGACCCCGTCCTCAAGCCCCCGGTCCCGGTTGGGTCCCCCCCATCCGGTCCCGCAGTTCCCAGTCCCGGTTCTGTTTCCCCCCCCCCGCTCCCGTCCTGTACCCCCAGGACCGATTCCGCCCCCTCCGGTCTCTTCCCGTGTCCCCCGGCACTGATCCTGCCCCCCCCACCTCATCCCATGTCCCTCACCCTAGGTCCTGCCCCCCCCCCCCCCCCCCCCCGTTCCCCTCCTGTATCCCCTGACCCCGATCCTGCCCCCCCCATCTCATCCGCTATTCCCTTGTCTGGAACCTGCCCCCCCATGTCCCCCAGCCCTTTATCCTGCAACTCCAGGTCCAGCACCCCATGACCCCCAGCCCTGTGCCCCACAACCCCCAGTCCTTCACCCCTTCCCACATCCCTGTATCCCAATCTTGCACCTCACGTTCCCATCCCACATCCCCATTCCTGCATTCCCCACATTCTCCAGACCTGTACCCCCACATCTCCTGGTCCTGGACCCCCGATCCCACATTCTCCCAAGCCTTGCCGGAGAAGGAGAAGGATGCAGCATCCCCAACCCACACACCCTTCCCAAGCAGGGGTGAGCCCCAGGCCCTGGAACAGGCACTCAGAATCACCCTGTACCCCAAAAACCTCCAGTGAAGCATCACAAGAGCCTGGATGTCCCCATCCCTGGGATCCCATGGCAGTGTTTGGCCGGTGCCCTCCCTCCAGGACCCCAAAGGCAGCCCCATGTGGGTCACAGGCCCCCCAGGAGCGGGCAGAGCCCCCCCCCCCGGAACGGGCAGAGGGTGTCTGGATGCCGGAGCACGAGAGGAGCATCCCGCAGCCCCGGCCGAGGGCTGTGGGTGACATCTGCCGTCGGAGCTCTGCCACTTCACCGGGGCCCGTCCCGTCAGGTCCCCATGGACCCCCCCCAGCTCTGCAGGGGGCACCATGGGGTGGGTGGGAGCCGTGGCGCGGCGGTGACGGGCACATGGCAGGATGAGGCCATGGTGCTGCCATTGGGGCCCTCCAACAGCTCCGGGGGGGTCTGTGCCCCCCATGATGAGTCTGTGCCCAGCGGTGGGAAATGGGATCCACCGGATAAAGCCCCGAGTCCAGCCTTGCCTTGCAGGGTCCAGCCTGGGAAGTGCCACAGGATGCCAAGCTCCTGGCTCATTATTCCAGGCCGCTCTTCCCACTCCTTGCACCGCTCTCCCAGCCTGACTGACCCTTAGTGTGGAGGTGATGAAGCATTCAGCTCTGCTGTGCACAGTTGGTGCCTGAGGACACGCTGGATGCTCACAGGGACCCTTCCCACTGACACCCCCCAATCTGCTTTCGCTTCTGCTTCCTGGGACCTCCCGCATGCAGAACCCCACCAGGCACAGGGAAGTCTCCTTCACGCCTCTTCTTGGGCTGTGATTTCCCCCCAGCCAGCAGCGAATCCCCTCGGGATGGGCTTTGCTCCCTGCCCGCAGCCAGGAAAGCTTCCCCCTTCGAGGAGACAACCCCTGGGATCCGGCCTTGCTCCGCTTCCCGGCCCACACTGCAGGGGCAGGCTGGGGATGGGGATGGGAATGTGGGGAGCAGCTGCCTCGTTCATCCCGTGTCTCCCAAGAAAACACAGATCCCCCATGGAAAACACTTTGGAATATTTCTATTTCCATCGGTCAGATTTGCTTATGCTGGGAAGGACGTGAGTCCCTGGGGGATGTAAATCCATTAGGAAGGGATTGGGATGCGGAGAAGCCGGGGCAGAAAACTGCTGCGGGGCATCCCCTACACAGGGTGAGCTCTGCAATGGGTGCCACGGACATGGCGATCCCCCCTCGCTCTGCCACCTAAACCTCCATCCTCATCCTGCTCTGTGCTGAGCGCCCTCGGCTGTCCTGGAATGCGGCTCCCTGGATGCTGGTTTCCACCTTGGAATCGCCCCTTTCTCATGGGCTGATCTGGGGATCCTAGGGGAGGGTTTCCCTGCTTCCTGCATCACCCCAAGGATCCCACCACTCCCTGGGACCAGCTCCCTTTGCCAACGTGGTTTTCCAAGCACCGTGATCTCCCTTAACCACGGATGTTCAGCACCCCACGAGGCGATGGGCGGCCGTGGGGTGCTGCAATCCGTGCCCCACAGCAGGAAGCCGCCTGCTCCAGCAGGAGCAGCCCCACAGATCCCAGGCTCCTGGCTCCCAGGCAGCTCCTGCTGACGTGTTGGACAGATGATGTTTTCTGGAGCCCTGGGATAAACAAGCCTCCAGATGCACACCCCACGCATGAGCCAGCTCCAGCTCCGGCTCTGCTGCATCCCTCATGCGTGGATCCCGCGCGGCAGCCGAGGCAAGGCAGAGGTAAGAGCCGCGGGTTCGGGTCCTATCATGGTCTTTGGTCCCCCACTTTGCTCATTCCCAAAGGGCATCCCCCAAAGCCTTGGAAAAGCTGCATCTCTGTTGTGCGCTGCCCAAGATGCAGCCCCAAAGGCCCATGGGATGTTCTCCGTGCTCTGCCCCTGGATGTCACCCACTACCTGTCATCCTACCCGGACCCCATCCTGCAGGGCCACGCTGGACCACCCCTCCTGCAGCTTGTTCCCCCCAGTGCCAGGACCAGTGAGACCCCCCCAGGGTCCCCTGTGCAGCACTGGGCCCATCCCCTATGTGCAGCCCCCTTGTCCCCTGTGACACGAGCTGGGGATGGGGCTGAGTCCTCCATCTCCCAGCACACACTGGGGGGTTTGCTCTCATTCCCCATCCCTCTTCTGCTCCGGATGGGTGCTGGTGCCTGGGGCTGGGAGCTCAGCCCAGGAGCCCTCCACATCCAGTGTGTGATCACTGGGGCTGTGGGAGGTGGTGGTTTGGGGGCCGCAGGAGGCCTGGATGGACGCCCTGGATGGATGCCCTGGATGGGTGCCCTGGATGGATGCCCTGGACGCACGCCCCACATCCCGGCCAGCCGCAGCTGCGCTCTCCCTGCGGGAGCCGCTTCCCGTCTGCCAGGAGCGGGGCTGCAGCCGGATATCGGTGTCTGCCCCAGCACGGCCGCGGTGACAGCGAGAGGCCACTGCGGGGCTGCACCACGCTCCCGAACTGCACTGGTGCGCGGCCCGGGACAGCATCATAATGATCCTGCTAGCACCGGCATCCCTGTCCTGATAGTGCCTGATCCTAATGCACCAGCATCCCCGTCCTGATAGTGCCTGATCCTAATGCACCAGCATCCCCGTCCTGATAGTGCCTGACCCTAATGCACCAGCATCCCCGTCCTGATAGTGCCTGATCCTAATGCACCAGCATCCCCGTCCTGATAGTGCCTGATCCTGATGGCACCACCATCCCCGTCCTGATAGTGCCTGATCCGGATGGCACCACCATCCCCGTCCTGATAGTGCCTGATCCTGATGGCACCACCATCCCCGTCCTGATAGTGCCTGATCCTAATGCACCAGCATCCCCGTCCTGATAGTGCCTGATCCGGATGGCACCACCATCCCCGTCCTGATAGTGCCTGATCCTGATGGCACCACCATCCCCGTCCTGATAGTGCCTGATCCTGATGGCACCACCATCCCCGTCCTGATAGTGCCTGATCCTGCTGGCACCACCATCCCGGCCCTAACAATCCCAGTCCCCCGGCAGTGCCCGCTCCCACAGCTGCTCCCCAGGCGGGCGGCTGCTGCCAGGAACAGCTCCAAGACCCCATTTTCCCCCTTTCCTTTATTCCGTTCCGCAGGGCGGGACAGCACCGACTCCAGCTCGGCCCCGTGCTCGGGGGGTGCCCCCTGAGCCCCCCAGGCTGTGGCTGAGGCAGAAACTCCCCGAGCCCCGCTCAGAGCCCCTCAGGCGCTGTGGAGGCCGGGAGCTGCGGAGCAGGGGAAGGACAGGACCCGAGCGCTCGCTCCGTGAATGCCACGGGGGTTTTAAGCTCATTTTGCGCTCTGGGCTTGGCGAAGCTGAGATTTAAATGACAAAACAGACGGCCCCGAGCAGGCACCGCCCCCCCGCCTCCAGACCCCGGCGAAGCTCAGCCCCTGCACCCCTCAGACCCACCCCTGCTCAGCCCCTGCACCCCTCAAACCCACCCCTGCTCAGCCCCTGCACCCCTCAGACCCACCCCTGCTCAGCCCCTGCACCCCTCAAACCCACCCCTGCTCAGCCCCTGCACCCCTCAGACCCACCCCTGCTCAGCCCCTGCACCCCTCAAACCCACCCCTGCTCAGCCCCTGCACCCCTCAGACCCACCCCTGCTCAGCCCCTGCACCGTCCAAACCCACCCCATGCCCCCCAAAACCTCCTGCTCAGCCCCCAAAATCAGGGTGTGGTGAGGGGTGCAGCTGTGGAGGTGCTGGGAATGATGGGGATGAATGGAAGGATGGAGGGAGGGAGGGAGGGAGGGAGGGAGGGAGGGAGGGAGGGAGGGATGGAGGGATGGATGGATGGATGGATGGATGGATGGATGGATGGATGGATGGATGGATGGATGGATGGATGGCAGAAGGGATGGAGGGAGGGATGGATGGAGGGAGGGATAGAGGGAGGGATGGATGGATGGATGGTCCCCTGCAGGCATTGGGACCCTTTGCACCCACCCAGCAAGGTTAAGCCCAGTAGATGGGGACAATGCTGCAGAGGATGCTGGTGGTGGTGCCCAGGATGGAGCGGTCAGCTAGGGGCATGGCAAGTCTCTTCTCATCCTGGAGAGGGCAGAGAAGGAAGGCTAAGGCAGCAGCAGCACGATGCTGCACGGAGGGTGTTGCACAACGCATCCTGCCCAGGGCATAGCTGTGTGTCCCCCCCTTGTCCCAGCAGGTCCACCAGCACTCACCTGCCAGCGCTGGAAGGCCTCAGCCATGGTGTCCAGCCCAGGGATGTTGTCCTTGTCCATGTGGGCGATGTAGCAGGCACCGTGGAGCTGGGATCTGTAGCTCACCAGCAGCTATTTGCAGGTAGAGCCACATCAACACGGTCCCGTCTCACCTTCCCCATCCTCCCCATTGCTCCCCACTTACATTCCTGTAGTCATAGATGACCGTGGCCGGGTTTCCATCCCCACCATCCACATAGAACGTGGCTGCATCCTCCTCCCAGGCTGGTTCTCTCCAGAGCCCCATCCTTAGGACCTGTGGGGCACGGTGGGAAGCTCACACCCTGCTGCATCCCCTCATGGGGGCTCCGGGGGTCCCTTACTTACAGCATCAGCGTGGCGCTGGTCCGCGCGCAGCCACATCAGCAAGGCTCCGGCGATGATGACCACCACCAGCACCACCACCAGCACCACCAGGAGGAGGCACTTGAGGCGGTGGCAGCTCAGGAGCTTGCGGGGCAGGTAACAGAGCAGGCGGGGGACGAAGCACAGCGACCGCTTGATGCAGCCGCCGCAGCTGGGGCAGCCGGGACAGCGGCAGCACCGGGGCATGCAGCACCGCGCACACTTGGTGCAGCACACGGCGCAGGGCCAACAGCAGCAGCCCGGCTTGCAGCACCCGTTGGAGCAGCACCCGGTGCCGCAGCAGCCCTTCTCCGGGTCCTGTGGGCATGGGAGAGAAAGGGGGAGAAGTGGGGTGAAGGGGAAGGATACAGGAGCAGGGGGTGCAGGAGGGATGCCCCTGAGTCTCCAGGAGGCAGCGTCCCGTGGGCTCTTCACCACACTGGTGCCTTGCGGGGACAAACGGCAGAGCCCTGTGCTGAGCATCTCTGCTGGGCACAGGGGCAGCACGGTGCTGCCACTCCAGTGCGGGTCACAGACTCACCAGCGGCTCTTCAAGCACCACCTGCTTCATGCTGCCCTCCATGGCTGCTCCCTCCTCCTCCTCCTCCTGCCCCCAGCCCTGCAGTGGCCACACCACAGGGCTTTATACCAGGGTGATGGGGTGGGGAGTGGAGTGGCCCCTGTGAAGGAGGTCGTGGTCCTGGCGCGCAATTGGGCTCTGCCATGCAAACCTCTTCAGTGCTGTTTGCTGACCTCCTTCCCCAGTGCTGCACGCCCCTGGGAACCCACAGCTCAAGAGTTCCTAAGGGCACTTGTCCCCATCACCGGGGGCTCTCTGCCGTCCAGGAGCGAGGGCTTGGTCCAAAGCAAACCCTCCTGAGCGGGTTCAAGCTGCTCTCCAGGGAGGAGCATCCGGCTGCAGCAAGACCTGGGCCGGTGCCTGCAGCCCTTTGCCCTTAGCTCGGGCACATGGAGCTGCTCGGGGTGGGCAAAGTGCAATGGGACATCAGCGCTGCCCCATAACCAGCAAGGCTGGGTGGGAGCAGGGTCACCTCGCCCTGAGGACATGTCCCTGGACCATGCTCTTGAGGATGCTCACAGGGGCTCACATGGATGGTGCTGGGGCTTCGGGGCCGATGTGCTCAGGGTGAGGGGTCCCAGCTCTGCTGTGTGCCTCGCAGTGGTGCAATCGGCAGGGCAGGGTGACCCTTGGGATTGCTCAAGCCTCTCCTGCAGCAGGGTTGGGACCTCTCCAGGCAGGTCTGGGCCTGTTGGGAGCCCAGGCGCGGGGTGCGGGGTGAAGGGTGCACCCCATGCCCTACCCTGGGGTGCTGGGCAGCAGGGAGCCCCTTGAGTGGCTCCTGCTGTTTGCTCTCTGGCCCCATGTGCTCTGTGCATCACCTCCTGTGGCTCTGCTCACCCTGCTCGTCCCGGCGCTGCCGGGGCAATGCGGGCTCAGGGCTGCTGGCCCCATGTCAGTGCATGGCAATGCGCAGGTCCCCTCCCGCTGTGACCCTTGGCAGTGGGGACAAGGCTGAGTTAGTGCCTGTTGCAAGGTTAAACCACTCTGCCCAGCACCACCGCGCTCCTGGGGGGCTGGATCAGGTCCTAGGGGTCTCTTTTCTCCCTCCCATCCCATTGATCCCCCATTCTCTGGTGCAGCACTTGGAGCTGGAGGAGCTGGGGCTGCCATGGACAAGGATGGAGGGAGCAGAGGACTGGGGTGTCTGTGGGTGCCCTGCTCAGCCCTGGTGGCCCAGACCCCGGCTCTGCCTGTGCCCATGGAGCTGTGGAGGTTTCTTTTGCTGCCTCATCCTCCTCCCATGCAAGCTGGGAGGGCACTGGGGGGACACTGGCCCTGGGAGCTTGGTGTGGAATGCTGAGGGGTGCTGCTGACCTGGGAAGGGAGTGCCTGAGCCCTCCTGTATGGGGCTGGACCGAGCACACTGACACGAAGGATGCTTCCATCCCACAGGGAGACATCCCTGGGACACCAGAGGGTCCCTGGCACCCTGGGGCAGGGAAGGATAAGAGCAGCACTTGAGGCAGTGGCACAGGCTTTACTTTGCAGACACAAGCATTAATCCTGAAGCAAATCCCACTGGTTTATTATATGACAAGAGTGGTGGGAAAGCTGTGGTGCCGAGTGGCTGCAGATGGAGCACCCCTATGGTGGGATGGCTGCTGCCAAAGGAGGAGGAGGAGAAGGATGCCTGAGCATTGGTAGACAATGTGGGGAGCACGGGCTGGCCCCATCCACGCTATGCCCAGTACACAGGGACGGTGCTGCAGAGGATGTTGATGCTGGTACCCAGGATGGAGCGGTCGGCCAGGGGCACGGCTTTGTCCCCATCCTCCTTCATCTCAGCCTGCAGGAGAGACAACAGAGGGGTCACTGCCTGCAGCAGCCCACCCTGCAGCCGCTGCTGCCCGGGGGGGACCAGCACTGACCTGGCGCCGCTGGAAGCTCTCCGTGACGGCGTCCAGCCCCGGGATGCTGTCCCGGTCCATGCGGGTGATGCAGCAGGCACGGTGGCGCCAGGACCTGTAGCCGACCAGCAGCTGTTTGAGGCAGACCCGGGTCATGCTCAGCCCCATCCTTGCCCCTGCACCCTCCCCTGCGCCCGCGGCCCTCGCACCTTGCTGTAGTCATAGACCACCACGGCGGAGGCGTTGAGCCCATCCCGCACGGCGAACGTCCCGGTCCATTCTTTCTTGCTCAAGGAGAGGTGCTGGGGGGTCCCTTCGCCGTCCAGCCCATGGATGGTCATCCGCAAGACCTGCCATGCAGGGGGGTCAGGGGAAATTGTGGGGGTCTAAGCCCCATCCCTGCGGAGCACCAGCAGCCGGTGCCATTCCCAACCCTCCCAATCCCATCACCGGAGCCGGCGGCACTGCGGTTCCCTCCCCTCACCGCTTCGGCATGTGTCTCAGTGATGCGCAGCCCCAGCAGGAGGAAGGTGACGATGACCACCATGAGGATGAGCATCACCACTGCTGCCATCATCAGGCTCTTGAGCTGAGGGGAGATGCTGGGCAGGCGCGGGGAGGCCGTGTACCTCTGGGGACACAGGGGACAACCTGGGTGAGGCACCGGCGCAGGTGGATGGTGCTCAGCCCCACAGCAGCTCATGGGGCGAGCGATGGGTGCTCCTTACCGGAGGTGCCTCCTCCATCAGCGCCTCTTTGGAGCTGCCATCCATCTCGCCCTCCTTCTCCATGCGGCTCCTGTCTCTTTGCCAGCTGGAACCGGGGGCATTTATAGGATCCCGGGAGGATGGGAGGAGGTTGGAGCTGCCAAGGTACCACTTGTGCTGTTTGCTGAGGCAGGGAGTGGGGATGAAACCTCCGAGAGCCCTTTCCCGGCATTGGGAAGGGGGGGAAGGCAAACAGTGGGCAGCAGAGCGAGCATGCCAGCGCCCAGCACCCTCAGCACACGCCCCTGTGGGTGCTGCACCCCGGTCCCTGCAGCCTGCTCAGTGCATGGGCAGCTGCGGGCCCCCCCCAGGGTGGGCAGGAAGGAGCTGGCTGGGCTCTTTGTTGGCCGGGAATGCGGTGCCTGGGACGGGATGGACAATGCCCGGCGCTCGCTGCCAGCACTGCAGCACCGGGGCAACGCAACGCTTCGGTGCCTGAGCTCCGGTGGCACCACCCCTGCGACGAGAGATGGGGGCTCCCTCCAGACCCCCCTCGTGGGGCACCCCAGGGGCACCCCGCAGCCCCCTCCCGTGCGCGCCGCCGTCTCTGCGCGCTCACAGCGGTGAGCGCCCGCGGCCGCTCGGCTGTCACTCACCGCATCCCTCCCGCCCTCCTTCCCGCAGCGCCCGAGCATGGTGCGCGCTGCAGCTCCGGGCCGGCAGCCCCCGTCGCGTCCCTTCCCCGCCGAGCTCTGCGGGCATTGAGGAGGAGGAGCGGGCTCTGCCTCCGCTGCCGGGCGCTGCGGGCGCACAGGGACCAGCCCCGGGCAGAGCGCTAGGCCGGGGCGCGATGGAGCTGCGGCGCTGGAGGAGGATGCTGAGGGACCGGCTCCCCGCTCTCCTCCTCCTCCTCCTGGCCTCGGCCTGGCTCTGGCAGCCCGCGGAGGGTCGGCGGCCGCCCCGGCCGCCCCCGTGCCCCCCGAGCTGCTCCTGCACCCAGGACACTGCGTTCTGCGTGGATTCCAAAGCCGTGCCCAGGAACCTGCCCCCCGAGGTCATCTCGCTGTGAGTACTGGGGATGGGGACAGGGAGCGCATCACAGCCCAGGGCTGGCGGGGGTGATGCTGCCCTGGGCATGCAGGGACAGCCCCGCTGTGCTCCAGGGGGAGTAAATGTGTGCTGGTGTGGGGTATGGTGGGTGCTCTGCGGGAGGGAGCGGGCTGGGGACATCCCAGGACTGGTCCCTGTGTCCTGCAGCGGTGGCAGCTCTCCTGCATCAGTGAGGGATGGAGCTGTCCCCACTGTGACCTTGGGGACCAGAGCCCCAGAGGGACACAGCTGGTGGGTGCTTGGGGACACGGTGGGGCAGCAGCCGTGTGTGTGCTGCGTGTACGGTGGATGCGTGTGTGTGCTCATGTGTGGGGCTGCTCTGGCGTGCACCAGCTGGCAGCAGGGACAGTGCAGGGGGGCACTGGGGTGGTGGAACCCCTCCTGCTGCCGTTCCCTCTCCTGAAGCTTCCTCTCCTTGGCAGGACCATGGTGAACGCGGCGTTCACAGAGATCCGGGAGGCAGCGTTCGCTCACATCCCCTCGCTGCAGTTCCTGTACGTGTCCGCCCTGGCATCCCGCTGTGTCCCCATGTTCCCACCCTGCCCGCCCTGTGCTGATGCCTTCCCCTTCTCCTTGCAGCCTGCTCAACTCCAACAAGTTCACACTGATCGGGGACAACGCCTTCGCCGGCCTCTCACACCTCCAGTACCTGTGTGTGGACGGGGACGTGGGGATATGGATGGGGACACAGGGATGGGAGGGGGACATGGGGATGGGGATGTGGGGATGGAGACACAGGGATGGGGATGGAGACATGGGGAGGGCATGGAAAGGGTGTGGGGGGGTCAGAAGAACCTGTCCCTCGTGCCACCATCTCCTCCCACCCCAGGTTCATTGAGAACAATGACATCCAGGCTCTCTCAAAGGCCACTTTCCGTGGGCTCAAGTCCCTGACCCACTTGTGAGTATTGGGAACGGGGATCCTGCATTCCCCAGGGACACCGAATGTCTCTTGTCCCTTCACTGTGTGGTGTCACCTCCACAACCCCTCTGATCCCACAGGTCCTTGGCCAACAACAACCTACAGACGCTGCCTCGGGACCTCTTCAAGCCACTGGACATCCTGAGCGACCTGTAAGGCTGTGCTGGCACTGGGGCGCTGGGATGGGTTGTGGGTGACACCGGGATGGGTTGCGGGTGGCCCTGTGGTGCTTGGAGCTCACTGGGGCTGGGTTAACTCAGTGCCATCCACACCAGGGACCTCCGTGGCAACACGCTGGCCTGCGACTGCCAGATCAAGTGGCTGGTGGAGTGGCTGGAGAGCACCAACACCACGGTCCCCCCCGTGTTCTGCAGCAGCCCCGGGCACTTCGAGGGTCAGCGCATCCAGGACCTGGTGCTCGGGGACTTCCAGTGCATCACCACGGGTGAGGGAACACGTTCACCCATCGCCCCGCGCCCAGGTGATGCTCAGACCCTCACTGCCCCCTCTCCCCACAGACTTTGTGGTGCACCAGGTCCTGCCCTTCCAGTCGGTGTCGGCCGAGCCCTTCACCTACGCCAGTGACCTGTACGTGGCCCTGGCGCAGCCCGGTGCCAGCAGCTGCGCCATCCTCAAGTGGGACTACGTGGAGCGCAAGCTGCGGGACTTTGACCACATCCCGGGTAAGGCGCCCGTGCCGGGGGTCCCTTCCCATGCCATGGCCCCTGTTTGGGGTGCTCTGGGGCAGTCACGGCCCCGGTGTGACGTGGGCCTGCCCGGCAGCTCACTCCGCAGTGCACTGCAAGCCCATCGTGGCGCAGGAGCAGCTCTACGTGGTGGTGGCCCAGCTCTTCGGCGGCTCCTACATCTACCGCTGGGACACGAGCGTGGACAAGTTCATCAAGATCCAGGACATCGACAGCCAGAAGATCCGCAAGCCCAATGACATCGAAGCCTTCCCCATCGAGGGGGAGTGGTACTTTGTGATTGCCGACAGCTCCAAAGCGGGCTCCACCAGCCTCTACCGCCTCAACCAGAACGGCTTCTACTCGCACCAGGCGCTGCACCCCTGGCACCGCGACACCGACGTGGAGTACGTGGAGAACGACGGCAAACCCCGGCTCATCATCGCCAGCAGCTCCCAGGCGCCCATCATCTACCAGTGGAACCGGGCACAGAAGCAGTTTGCGCCGCAGGGGGAGGTGGGCGAGATGCTGGACGTGCAGATGGTGAAGCATTTCAGGGTGAAGCGGGACCAGTTCCTCTGCCTCAGCCGCTACATCGGCGACTCCAAGGTGGTGCGCTGGGAAGGGCAGCGCTTCGTGGAGCTGCAGACGCTGCCGTCCCGTGGCTCCATGGTGATGCAGCCCTTCTCCGTGGGGCAGCGGCAGTACCTGGCCCTGGGCAGTGACTTCTCCTTCACCCACGTCTACCTGTGGGAAGAGGAGAAGCAGAAATTCACCAAGTTCCAGGAGCTGCTGGTGCAGGCGCCCAGGGCTTTCCGCTCCGTGCTGGCTGCTGACGTGCAGCTCCTCCTGGCCCCCAGCTTCAAGGCCAAAACCCTGGTCTACCGGCACGTGGTGGTGGACCTCAGCCTCTAGACACGGCCCCGAGCTGCCAGCGCGGCCCCAGCGCGGCTTCTGCCTGGGGATGCGCATGCACCCGACTGCCCCATGGTCACAACCCCCCGTGTTCACCGCCCCGGCCAATCCTCCCCAGGGCATCACCCAGCCCCACAGCCCCCAGTTCCCCCAGGAGTCCTGGGATCCCTACATGCAGCACCCACAGACATCCCATGGGATGTGGGCAGGATAACGGGACACCCCCTCCCCTGCAGGCCTGTGAGTGCCTGTTTGGGCTGACAGGGATGGGGGGAACCTGGGGCAATGGGGTGGAGGCTGCAGTGGGGAGGGGGGGGGGGTGTGTGTGTGGATGTGATGCTCCCAGGATACTGGGGTGCTCCCATGTAGATGAGATGCTCAAGGTGGGTGGGATGCCCAGAGGAGGACAGGATGCTTGAGGCCAGGGGAATGCTACGATGTGGATGTGGATGGGATGCCTCGAGAAGGACAGGATGCTTGAGGCCATTAAGATGCTCCAATGTGGATGTGGATGAGGTGCCTCAAGGCAGATGGCGCCAGGAGGATGCTCCAGTGTGGATGCAGATGGGATGCCCTGAGGAGGATGGGATGCTCTGAGGCAGATGGGATGCTCCGCGGTAGTGCCACCACCACCAGAAGCAGGGCTGACCTGCTCCCGTCCCCCTCCATGCATGTCCAGGCGGTCCCTGTACCCGCTGCCGGGCAGGACGCGGTGTTCCAGCTGTTCCCGAGCTGTCCGTGCCCACCGAAACGCTCCCAGAATAAACCCGCTGTGAGTGCTGCCTGCGTCTGCCTGCGCTGCTGCGTGCCCAAGCACCACGTCCCGCCCGCCATCACCACACAGCCCCCCTCTTCCCTTGCACAAGCCCCAGCGAGCCCGGGAAGGGGGAACCCCTTGTTTTAGGCTCCCCCAAGCTGGTTTTCCAGGGCAGCAATTCCCTGTCTCCCAGGGATTGAATCTGCATGTGAAAAACCACCAATTAGGCTCACAAATAAAGATCTTCTTAGCGGTAGCAGGCACCCCGAGGCGGGGCTTTGGGAGCAGGGTTTGACCTCTGTGGCTCCATGGGCTCTTCCCCATGTCGGGAATGCCACGGGTGGCACTGCGGGGTGCAAGGCAGGGCACGCAGCACTAACTGGGCAGTGCCACGCTTCTCTGCCTCAGTTTCCCTACTGGGAAAAGGCAGATGTGAAGCGCAGGGAGCAGGCACTGAAGGGTCCCAACAGCACCCATGAGCTGGGGTGCGCTGGGGATGCGCAACCAAGGGGAGGTGCCCGGGGAGGTGATGCCGGGGCTGGCTCCAGGAGGAGAAACCAGCTTCTGCTTCCTGCAGGGTTCAGCACGGCTAAACCCGGGCGAGGCGAGGTGGGTGTAGAGAGCTTAACAGCAGAATGGCTAAGTAACAGAGGTCATGATACTGTGCAGCTGGTGGAAAGATAGGCCTCAGGGCTGCGCCTCAAGGCCGCAATTATCTTGTGGTTGATGCTTATTTTGAGTTGCTCAAGAAACAGGATGTACATCTTGTTGAGATAAGCGCAATGATAATGTTTGAGCAAGCTGGGATATGTCAAAACAAGTTGAAACAAGAAGTGGTTACAGTTACTTAGAGACCCCTGCGTCAATACCGATTAGCCAATGATTTTGCTGTATCCTGGCAGACAATGTACCTAACACCGCGGGCTATAAAAATGAGTGTATCACGCTAAATAAACGAGACTTGCTGACCATGATAGCATGAGGCTTGTCTCCCGCGACTCCCGGGGTCACCAACATATTGGCGCCCGAACAGGGACTTGGGACCAACCGGAACAAGGACCCAAAGGAGTTGCGTTGGGTGCAGGTCTCGACTTAAAGACGGCTTCTGCGGGACAGCAGTGACACATCTGTGTGCTGCTTGCTTTCTGCTTTGGCCCGGAGTGCAGCATCGGCTGGCTCTGCTGCTACGCGCTGCCGACGCCTGGAGGGTGCAACGGAACCGGTAAATATGGACAGGCAAGCGGCGTATGATCTTTTTACTGCCTTCCTCCGTCGTCGGGGGTTAAAAGGCTTAGATTTAGATAAGGACCTCCCTTCCCTTCTTTCCCACGCTCGGTCTCTCGGTATTTTCGATGATCCCCATTCAGTCCACCAGTTATCGGAATGGCGTCGCTACGGTGATAAATTATGGGATCTTACATTAGATGATGATAAAACTGCTAAAAAGTTATCCAAATTATGGCGTTTGATACATAACGAACTCTTAATGGTACAGGCGGAGAAACGTGCGGCCGAAAGTGCCCGTTTGGCACAAGATCTAAATCGTCACTACGATCCCTCTGCCCCTAATCCGCCGACCGTCTCGTCAATCGAGATACCCCCCCCTCCTCCTCCGCCTCCTCCTCTCCCCCCCCCACCCCCCTCTTCCCCGTCTCCCCCGTCTGCCCCCGTTCCTGAAAACGGACCGCCTGAGTCTCCTCAAAACTCCCTTCCCTTGTCTCTCAATGCCACGGAGCCGTTCCCCGGAGCCCTTTCGGACCTCGCGGAGGCTATGGCAGGTCAGAGACGGGAAGCTTGGGCTGCTCTGGCACGCCACGGAGTCGAAAACGGAGATAGGGTCCTTGCCGATGCGGCACAAGACCATGTTGCTACTTCCATGGCTTTTCCTGTTATTTTTCACCCTCGGCCTGGCGGCGGTTATAGGGCAGAGATTACTCAAATTGATTGGAAGTTATTGGCACAACTTCGTGCCACAGTCGCTCAATTCGGTGTCACCAGTGAACCGGCCAAACAGATGCTTGATTACTTATTTAATTCGATGATTCTCTTGCCTGTAGACATCAAGGGTATCGCTCTTTTAATCTATACCCCTCACCAAAAACTTACATTTGATGCCCGATGGGGGGAAGAAGCTGCTGCTTCAGTAGCTTTACCCCGTACTCAAGGAGACCCCCTTTTTGGAGTAACAATGAATGAATTACTAGGAAATGGTGATTATACTCGAACAGATGCCCAGGCTGGCCATGAAAATGGACCGAGAGGTATCCCTGAACTTATTACAGTGCTTTTTATAAAAGCGGGGAATTGAGCCTGAGACTCTAAAGCAGCTAGCAGGTCTAGTGGCTAGGGAAGACTAATATTTTTTGCAGATCCTAATACAATATTTGAGGAGAGTGAGTGGCGAAAGTTTGGTGATGAGTTATTTGACTCAGTGCTTAATGATTATAAAACAGCAAAGAAACTCGGTAAATCACAGAGAGAAGTAATGAACTGTATAAAAAGAGACAAGGCGGAAAAGAAAACTGCCGCAGTAGCAACGGAGAAACTAGGAACAGACGTCCCCGGTCGGTTGAAACCGGGGGAAGATTACAATTCGTCCCCCCCTCCCCCCAACTCGCGGGAGCACAGGGTTTCCCACCCCCCCCACCCCGCACCCCCCCCTTTCCTTTTCTCCCCCTCCATCAGAAGGTGCCGCGGAGGAGGTGTAACCCCCTGCTCCCCCACCACCCCAGTTCCGAAAGTAGGGACTTTGAAAAGGACAGAGAAAGTGTATTAGAAGGTATACGCGTGATAAATGTCGAGGAATCCGAAAGAAAGAGGGCGGTGCCTCGGCGCCGGATCGATTGCGGCGCCACTGTGAAGCACGCAGTAGAAAATAGGGATCATGCGCGAGCGGGAGATTTAAAGGAACCGCGAGCCTCTCCAGCCCACTGTGCCCTAGAGTGAAAAAGTTTTTAACTCAGTCACGGAGGAGCCAGGTCTGCAGATGGCCACATACCGAACGAGATACACCTGATAAGAAAGACACAGCTGCGAGCAACGGAGACCCCGAGTTCGGCGCAGGATCAGCCCCCGAATCCCCTGAATCCGAGCCAGATTTGTATCCTCTGCTTCCAGACCCTGACTCTTCGTCTCCCGGGTGGGTCTGCTCAGATTTACTGGCCCTGGAGACGCTCAGTTGTAACAATGGGTAACCAAATATGTGATCATTACTGGGGAATTTTCTGCAATGGGCATCTTTGCATATCCTATGTTTACTACACAGCAGGGGGCTAAAGAGTGGGAAGCTCTATATGTTATGATTTTTTCTTGCAATTGACAGGGAGAGCTCATACAGTTTCTCTGTGATACTCATGTACTAGAAGTTGGTAAATATAAGTATGTCCAGGTTTCTATCAACCCTTGGAGACCTTTATAGATATTACTGGCCACTTCTTCCAGCACAGGCTGGCCACCTGTGTCGGAATGAGTGTGCATTTTTCTCAGTATAAAAGCCCAAGCCTCATACGATGTGGGGGAGGCAGAGCCTCTGCGGGGACGCCCGCTAAGGTTGAGCCTGCCACCTCGCACTGCAATGATGCTTCTCGGAGCTGGTTTGCTGTTAGTCTCCACAGGGTCCTTGTTCTGTACGTGGGACTGTGTAGTGCGAGTAATAATTGTCTTTTTGTGTTTCAAATATTGAACTTATGTGGAGTGTGCTTGTGGGATCCCACACGTGTGTGTGTGTGTGTGTGTAGAGGGCAATCAGTGTTTTGTGTATTGTTGGGTTTATTGTAAAAGTTTTTAAGGGGTAGCTGTTTAACATTTCAGGCATGAAAGAGTTAATGTAAAAGTGCGGCTGCCGGCAGGTATTTATGATTGCTGCTGAAGCAGGCAGGCCGCTATAGCTGCTGCCGAGCAGGCCGGCTTTTGCAGGGACTAAAAATGAAAAAAAAATAAAAAAAAAAAAAAAAAAGAGAGAGAGAGTAATGATGTTATATTTAACTTTAACTGATAACCTGGGGGAGGGGGTATATTTGTGTCCTCCTGCCTACAGGTCCATGAGTGACTGCCTGCAAAGTTTGTCAAGCCTTGCCATGAGCTGGACAGACGAATGGATAAACCTGATGCCTCAGCTACAGAGGAAGAGAAAGAACAAATAACTGCAAAACATCACTTGGGGGCAACTGAAAAGTAACATCCTGAATATGTGTGCTTGTAAAGTAGCTATTATTAGAGGTTGTGATTTTGTGTATAAAACCACCTGTATTTACTAGCTAGTTGCTAATAAGAAACTGCACCTTGTATTGTATAGATTTGTCACTTGTAAAAGAGATGTCAGAATATGGAAATTTGCAGTAGCCGCTAGAAAATGCTAAGGCAAAAGCTAGAAAAATTTTAATACAATGGTAGTGTTATAAAGCAGGTGACATCGAAGGCAATTCCTGATTTGTTTTAATGTTGACTCTGTAAGACATGCAACACTGCAGAACCTTTTGTTGTTGGAACAGGGACATGGATGTGAAGAGTTTGATGGAATGTGTTGTATGAATCTTTCTGATCACTCTAATTCCATTCATAAACAATTGGCACTGTTAAAAGACAATATGCGAAAATTACAAGAGACAAATGATCCTTTCACAAACTGGTTAGCGTCCCTTGGACTATCTCCCTGGTTAATCAGTTTGATAGAAAAAATTGTTGTGGTGTTGGCCATAATTTTGCTTGCGATTTTGCTTTTACCATGTATTATGCAGTGTTTGCAAAAAATGATATCGAATGCTTTTAATCATAACATGGCTATGCTTGCTACTAAAGAAAACGGGGGAAGTGTAGAGAGCTTAACAGCAGAATGGCTAAGTAACAGAGGTCATGATACTGTGCAGCTGGTGGAAAGATAGGCCTCAGGGCTGCGCCTCAAGGCCGCAATTATCTTGTGGTTGATGCTTATTTTGAGTTGCTCAAGAAACAGGATGTACATCTTGTTGAGATAAGCGCAATGATAATGTTTGAGCAAGCTGGGATATGTCAAAACAAGTTGAAACAAGAAGTGGTTACAGTTACTTAGAGACCCCTGCGTCAATACCGATTAGCCAATGATTTTGCTGTATCCTGGCAGACAATGTACCTAACACCGCGGGCTATAAAAATGAGTGTATCACGCTAAATAAACGAGACTTGCTGACCATGATAGCATGAGGCTTGTCTCCCGCGACTCCCGGGGTCACCAACAGGTGGGGACTGCGCAGGGGCTGAGCTCAGGTCCCGCTGAACCAACGCGTCAGGGCGGTGCTGACACCCTCAGCACCTTGCCCTCGGTTGCCTTGGCAGGACCCAGCGGCGCTCCCCCAGCCCGAACCAGGGCCGGGTGCTCTGTGCGCAGGCACGCACTGCTTGGGGTGGGAGGGGAGCTGAAAGCTCGTCCAGTTCTGCCTCTCTGGGCACCCTGCGGCAGCGCCTCACCGCCCTCACAGGGAAGGGCTTGTTCCCTACGCTGCATCCTCGTTCAGCAACACAAACCCCGCGTCCCCAGGAGATTTCCACGCTTTTCTTTGGGGTTATATGTGTTTAAAAATGACATTGCGGCTGCCCGTCCCTATTATAATGTTAATACTAGTACTCATACTACCAATGGTACTACTACTACTACTATTGCTACTACTAATGTTACTACTACTACTATTAATGCTATTACTAATAGCAGATTAGTATATAGGGTCGAGACCGACTCTACACTCGTGCGCCGTGCCCCTTTGAAGAGCCGCCGTTGCCCCTTTAAGAGCGGCGGGTACCGTTGCGGCGCATGCTCAGAGGCAGCGGCCGCCCCGTTCAAGCGTCTCCGGTGGTCCCGGTGCGGCGGAGCTCGGTCCCGGTCTCGGTCCCGGTCCCGGTCCCGGTCCCGGTCCCGGTCCCGGTCCCGGTCCCGGTCCCGGTCCCGGTCCCGGTCCCGGTCCCGGTCCCGGTCCCGGTCGCCGCCGCCGCCGCCGCCGCCGCCGCCGCCGCCGCCGCCGCCGCCGCCGCCGCCGCCGCAGCAGCAGCAGCAGCCGCAGCAGCAGCAGCCGCAGCAGCAGCCATGGTGTCGTGGGCGCTCAGCCGGCTGATCGAGTGAGTGCGGGCCGGCCGTGCCCCGGGCCGTGTTCACCGGGTCCGTGGGGCGAGGCTCAGGAAGGCAGAGCCGGGTCCTGCAGCGCTCCAGGCTGGGGAGGAGCGGGATTGATGGAGCTGTGCCGGGTGCCTGCGGATGGGGGCTGCCCCCGTGCCGGTGCCGTCCCTTGTGCAGCTCCGGGGCACGCTGCGGTGCTGGGGCAGGCTCTGCTCAGCCCCCGCTCTGTTCCAGGCTGCTCTTCGGGATGCTCTACCCTGCCTACGCTTCCTACAAGGCCGTGAAGACCAAAAACATCCGGGAATACGTGAGTAGGGAGCCTGGGCAGCTCCCCCCGGCCAGTGCCGCAGCCCCGGGGTGACGGGGCTCTGCTCCCGCAGGTCCGCTGGATGATGTACTGGATCGTCTTTGCGCTCTTCATGGCCACAGAGACCTTCACCGACCTGCTCATCTCCTGGTGAGCTGCGCTGTGGGGAGCAGCCTTGGGGTCCCTCTGGCCTGGGGGGGGGGGCAAGGAAGGGGACTCCCCCCTCCTCCTGCGTGCTGTGAGGGGCACACGCTGCTCTGTCTATGGGGGGAGGCACCATTCCCCCTACGAGGGAGCAGCATCTCCTCACTCTCATGTTCCCCCTGTCTCTGGCAGGTTTCCCTTCTACTACGAGGTGAAGATGGCTTTTGTCATCTGGCTGCTGTCCCCGTACACGCGGGGGGCCAGCCTGCTCTACCGCAAGTTCGTGCACCCCACCCTGTCCCGCAAGGAGAAGGTGAGTGAGGGGCTGCCTGGCACTCAGGACCCCCGATGTGGTGCTGTGCCCCCTCCTCAGCTCCGTGCCGTCTGCAGGACATCGATGGGTACATCCTGCGCGCCCGGGAGCGCAGCTATGAGACCGTGGTGCGCTTCGGCAAGAGGGGCCTCAACCTGGCAGCCACGGCCGCGGTGCAGGCGGCAGCCAAGGTACCGGGATGGGGCAGGACCCTGTGGGCCCACGGCCACACCTCGGATCCTGTGCTCAGCTCTGGGCTCCTCACTGCAAGAGAGACATTGAGAAGGGAACAGAGCTGGTGCAGGGCCTGGAGCACAAGGGTGATGGGGAAGGGCTGAGGGACCTGGGGGGTTCAGATGGAGAAGAGAAGGCTCAGGGGGGACCTGATGGCTGCCTACAACTGCCTGACAGGAGGATGGAGCCAGGAGGGGCTGGGCCCTGCTCCCAGGGAACAAGGGATGGGACAAGAGGGAAACGGCCTCAAGCTGCCGCAGGGAAGGTTTAGATGGAGCTGAGGATCAATTCCTGCCCCAGAGGGTGCTCAGGCATTGGAACAGGCTGCCCAGGGCAGGGCTGCAGTCGCTGTTCCTACAAGGGATCACACTCCGTGGAGATCAGGCCTCAGTGCCATGGGTTAGAGGTGGCCTTGGCAGGGCTGGGGTGAGGGTTGAACTGGATGAGCTGAAAGCTCTTTTCCAGCCCAGCTGATCCCATGATCCCATGGCCACTGCAGCAAGGCCTCGGTGCTGTGGGTGTCAGGAGCAGGCTCTGTGTGCAGACTCTGGGCTGATGGTGCCCCAGTGCTTTGGGCCTTGCCCTGTGGGGCTCACATCCATCCTCCCCCTTCCCTCCAGAGCCAGGGCGCGCTGGCCGGGCGGCTCCGCAGCTTCAGCATGCAGGACCTGCGCTCGGGGTCCGAGGACACCCCCGTGCACTGCCAGGACCCACTGTACCTGGAGGAGCCCCAGGGCCGCCGGCAGCTGCTGGGTGAGCCAGGAGCGGGCATCATCGTGCTGGGGGCTCAAGCAGAGCCCATTGCGGGGCTGTGCTGGGAGCTATCGTGTGCCCCCCCCCCCCCCCCCCCTTGTCCCCAGCCTACAGTGTGACCCCCGGCCCCCGGCAGTACGAGAGTGAGACGGAGGAGGAGGAGATCTGGTCAGATTTGGAGGTCGCGTCCTCCCAGCTGGACCCCAGACCCTTGTCTCGCAGCCAGAGCCTGCGTGTGGCCAAGAAGAAGGCACCAGGCAAAGAGGTACCATAGGGAGGGCATGAGGGGCTGGTGCGAGCAGGACCTGACCCGTCCCTCCTGGATGAGGCCCTTGGTGCCATGGCTTAGTAATGGGTTGGACTCGATGATCCTGAAGGTCTTGTCCAGCCCAGCTGATTGTGGTTCTGTGATCCAGGGCTCTTCCCGGCTCTTGCGCAGCAGGATCAGGAAGAAACCGGCCCTGTCGGATCAGGATGACTGATGGAAACCTCCGCCTGGAGTCTTACCATGACTTTGCTGCTGCAGCGTCAGGAGGGAGCTGTGGTTTGTGCAATTCCAGCCCTTGGGAAGGGGCTCCCCCTGCCTTACACTGTAAATCCCTTCTCTGACCTCTGTGCCTCCGGTTGCTGCTCCCACCGTCCCCGTTCCCAGACTCCATCCTATGGACGGGTGCTGGCGCCTCTCCCATGGGATCCAGCCCCCACTTTCCTCCCATCCTATGAACTCCATGGGCTCTGCTGGGATCCCCATTGCTGCCGTGATGCCTTACACCCCACATTCCTTCGGTGGGAGCCAGCAAAGGGATGTGCCTTGTTCCTTTTGTCCTCTGAAGCCAAAGCCACAGCCCTTGGCTGGGGTATCCCCACCAGTTACAGGCTGACACCCCCATACTTGAAACCGGGGCTCCGGTGCTTGACCGAGCCCCGCCGAGCACCACGCAGCTTTTAACGTTCCCACCTCCCAGACAGGGAGTTTTGTACATGGAAAATAAACGCTGTTTCACACTTGACCCCAACGCTGGCCCCTGCGGTGGTAGCGGGCAGAGCAGGGGGAGGGTGGTGGGATGCGGGTGATGGGATGAGCATCGCCGCCTCCTTGCAGTAGCTGCATCCCCCGCGCCGTGGCAGCAGCGCTCGGGCCCGCGGGTCCCGGCACCCGGCCAGGGCTGCAGACGGACGTCCCCATCCTGGCTGCCGGCCCTGGATGTCCTCATAGCCCCGGCCGTGGGCACCCTGCCGGGGCTGCCTGGGCCCAGCCAGGGGCTCTCACCTCCCTTCACTCCTGCCTTACGGACTTATCCCCTTCCCGGGTGCAGGCCATGGCACGAAGCCTCTGTGGGGTGGCCCAAGGTGACAGCGCTGCTCTCTGCCATCAGTCCCTTCGCTTCCCAGCCCCTCCTGCCCTCACCCCCTCAGCCCAGCGTTTTATATTTAGCCCTTGGCTGCCTTCTGCTTTCGGGGGTCTTCCCAGGGCAGGGGAGAGCATCTCCCTGGGGCTGGGCAAGGGGTGCTGGAGCAGATTAGGTGGAGGTGGCTGGATTAGCCCAGTCCAACTGCTGGGAGACGATTACTTAAAGCAGCAGGAAGGGAAAGGCTGGGAGGGGACAGCGTGAAGGGGCTGCCTCTAATCCCACCAAAGCTGCTTAGGGAGAGCGCGGTTCCTCCAAGGATACAGCACGGGGAGGCTGCTGGGGCTGCCGGCAAAGCCTGGCTGTGGTGCTGCAGAGTGGGGTACCCCCGGGTTGGGGTTCCACAGCCCCAGGGCTGGCTGGCAGCGTTCCCAGCTTGTGGAAACTGAGGCACGAGCATCAGTGGCGGCTGGGCTGGAGCGGGGCAGGGACCCAGCAGCGCTGGTGGCTGCTCCTGTGTCCTGGCACTGTCCTGTGCATTCCCCAGGGAGGGGACAGCAGCCGGGGCTGGGACATCCCCGGTGCCAGCGCTGGTCCTGGCTGTGCCAGGCTGTGTTCAGCAGAGCCACAGTCGCCCTGTGCCGGAGCCGGCCCAGCAGGGAAGGGGCTGCCCTGAGCCCGGTGCCAGCTCTGGGGTCCCCCCAGCTCACCCAGGGCAGGGGGGAGTGGGGGGAAGTGACCCCTGAGGCACATGGGGGGTGCTGGGGCCAGGCCCCATAAGCAGCCCAGAGCCCCTCTATTCCTGCCAGGGGAGCAGCAGAGGGGTTAAGGTCAAGGGGGTTGTTTGGAGCACCCTGCTCCAGTGGAAGGTGTCCCTGCCCCTGCAGGGGTTGGAGCTTTAAGGTCCCTTCATCCCAAACCAGTCTGATTCCATCATTCCCCATCCCTGAGAGCTGGCAGGGGACCAAGCGATGACAGGGACATGTCTGATGCTCCAGGGAATCACGATCCTTGTTGCAGAATGTCCTCAGTTTCACTGAATCTTCCTCTGTGTTTGTGGTGCAGTTACCTATGGGAACACCTGGGTTGAGAAGCTGGCCTTTATATTAGCATCATGTTAGCATTTATTAACCGATGATGGATGGGTTGCTGTGCTGCACTGCTTGAAGTCCCTGTTCTCTGGATCATGTTAGCCTTAGTCCTTGCTCTCTAGACCATAACCAGAGCACCCAGAGTCTATTGTATAGATGTTATGTGGCAACCTGGCTAGATGTGTCTAGCAGGCCAACTCGGCAACAGAACTTTTTAAGGTGTGTAAACTGCCTGCATTGTAACACAAACCCACCTGCACAGGCCAGGAAGACCCTTACCCAGATGAAGCCCGTTCTCCCCGCGCAAGCAGAAGAGAATGACACAGCAGACAGTGTAATTATCCACAACCTGATCCTTCCACATCCTCCACACCGGGCTGGGTACCAGCTGAGCCCCCAGGCTCAGCACCCTCCCCCGAACCTCTCCTCCCTCCCTCCCTCCCCCTTTCCCACCTCATTTCACCCCATTGCAGCCAACCTGGGGCACTCGGACGATGCCGGATGCTGCCGGTGCCACCCTGGGGCTGCCCCATCCCCTCCCAGCCACCTGCTCGCGGGGTCCCTGTGGGAGCAGCGTCCTCCCCTTTGCCGTGCTCCTCGCCAGGCTCCCCCGCGGCCGTGCCCGCGCCCTGAGCCGGCTCCCGCGGGCTGAGCCATGTGAGGCCGAGCACACATGGATGGCTCCCGCAGCGCCGCGCTTGTATTTTTAGCAGCCGGTATCAACAGCGCAGCCACGGCTCCCGTTTAACGGCAGCCTCTTCCCCGGCGCGGCCGGGCGGGGGGCTCGGGCGGGCAGGGCTGGGATCCCCCCCTCACAGCCCCACCACGTAGGTGAGAGCTCCCCGCTGCCCGCCCCATCGCACGCCTGCCCCCGGGAATGGCAGCTCCCGCCGCGGCGGGGGGGGAAGCGCGGTGCCTGGGAAAGGGCGTCTGAGGTGATGGAGTGTGGGAGGGCGCGGATGGAGGAATGCTGCATCCCCACCTCCTGCCCCCCCGCAGCCGCTGTGCCCCCCCGGGACCCGGCTGTCCCCAGCCAGCCCCGTGCACAGCCCGCGCTGGCACCGAGGATGGTTCCAGCTCCGTGTCCCCGCGCTGGAGCCGCATCCCTGGGACACCAGAGGCTTGGTCCTTAGGGAGGGTGCGCTGGAGACCCGCTCCTGTGACCGCACAGGGAAACTGAGGCGCTCCCTGCTTTAGGGGGATTCAGTGCTCATCATTCCCGGCTCTCCAACCCGCGCGGCCCCAGTGCCCATCGCCATGGCAGGGCAATGCTGGGGCACCCCAGGAGCATGGCATGGGCAGAAGAGGTGCCCAGGTTGAGGGCAGGAGACCCTGAGCACCCCAGGTAGGTGCTGCCAGGCCCTGGCTGAGCGGGCAGCAGAGGTGCTGCCGTGTCCCTGGCTGCCATCCTAAGCCCTTGGCCCCGCAGGCGAGCTTTTAATTACATCAAGGTATTTGGAGCTGGGCTGCTGGCACTGAGCTGGGGAAACTGGAGTCCCGAGGGGGTGGCACAGGACGGGCGGCTTCCTGGGACAGCTTGTCCTGCCTGTCCTCCCCCGGCATGGGAAGGAGGGAGCAGCAGCATCCTCAGTCGCCGCGTCCTGCATCCCTGCGAGCATCCCTGTGAGCATCCCTCCAAGCATCCCCCTGCCTGGCAATGGGGGACACCAGCAAAGGTGGGTCCCCCACTCCCTTCTGATAGGGACAAGCTGCTTCGCTGCCTCCATCTCCCTTCCCCATCCCATCCCCAGGGTTCAAGTGCTGCTCAGGGAAGGAGTGGCCGCTGCTGCCCTCCCTTCTGCATGGCTTTAGGAAGGCTTTGGGGTGCCGGGGCGCAGCCCCCAGCCTGGAAGAAGCAGCTTGCCTTTCCCCAGCAGCGGAACAAGCGGGATTAGCCATGCTTACTCACCTCCCCTCGGGAAAACCGGGAGATTAAGGCCGGGAGCAGCGCCGGAGCCCGGCCCCGGTGGCCGGGGCTGGAGGGGAGCGCAGGCTGCCAGAGCAGTTGGGTTGTAGCCCTAATTCCCAGCAAGCTGCTCGTGTGGGAGCGCGTGTCCTGCCGTGCCCTCGGCTCCGCCGCAGCTCCGCGCTCGGCAGCCTTCACGTGGGGGTTTTGATGCTTTTAGTGCGTTTTCGGGGTCGTTTCAAGCTCCGGGTGCGCGTCAGGAGCTGCTCCCGCAGGCACCGCCTGGTGCGGGGGGACCCGGGGATGGCGCTGCCTTCCTCCACCGGCGCCCTTGTCCCCTTCACCTGCGGCCCAGGGCAGGCAGGTAGGTGCGTGCTGGGCTGTGCGGGGCTGGGAGGAGGAGGAGGAGGAAGGGCTCTGTGATGCGCAGGGAACTGGAGGGGCTCTGGGTGAGCGGGGGGGGGGGGGGGGGGGTGTGAACACGCGTTGAGGCCATTTTCCTGAGGGAAAAGGCTGGATCTTAGGCTGTTTTGTCTGCGGAGCCCTTCATGGGGGTGCCTGGATCTGGCCCAGGGCAAGTGATGTGGGCAGCAGGGCAGGGCTGGCTCCTCGCTGCCACAGCATCAGCACAGAGATGGGCTTGGGTACCAGTGAGCCTGTTGTGCCGGGACCACCATCCATCCCCCTGCCCAGCGCTGGAGCATCCCAGGACCCCCATGCCCTGCCTCCCCCATGGTCCCAATGGACACAGGAGGGATGCACATCCTTGCAGTGTGTCCCCCCCATCCTCCTGCACCGAGCAGGGCAGGGATGCCAAGGTTTCTAATTCGGGTGCTTCCGCTCTCCAGCACCATCCTTCTGGGCTTGTGGGTGTTTCCGGTCCCTCCGATTTAAGGCAAAAACCAGGAAGATTGGAGCTGTGGGACAGGCTGTGCCAAGCCACCAAGCCTGGAGCTGGCAAAGTCCCAGCCTGGAACCCCCTGCATTGACCTGGGATACTGTCGTGCTGGGATATAGGCAGGGACCAGAGGGACCCCAGCTGGAGCCTGATGCTGGGAATGGGGTGGAATGATGGCCAAGCTCCAGGAGATCCTGCCAGCACGGTGGCTGCCCCTCAGGGTTACACTGTCCCCAGAGAGCCTTTGTGAGGGCCTCAGGCTCCCTGGCACAGGAGGAGCATCCCGGCCATGGCTGCGAGCCGAGGGCATGGGGAGGGCAAGGCCCAGGGATGCTGCCCCGGTGCAGGGTGGGAAATTCCCTCCCATCCCTCCAACATCATCCCCCTTTTCCCTACTCCAAGGGCTGCTCATGGCATCTCCTTGGGGTTTCCCAGCATCAGGGTGCTGTGTCTATCCCCTCTCTTGTCATTCCTATGCTCCCATTGACCCATCCGGCCATGCCAGGCTGCTCCAGGCCCTTCTGGCTGCATCAGCCCATCTGGAGCCATGATCCCCATGGAGCGGAGGGAGGGAATGGGAAGGGTTTGTCTTTCAGCACCTTCTCATTGCAGGTAGGCTCGGGCTCACCCTCGCCCTGGGCCCTGTCTGGGTCCCCTCCCTGTTCCCTGGCACCCAGTGGGTGCAGTGAGGAGGAGCCGGGCACCACAGCCCCCCAGACCCTCCCCTTGGTGTCGAGTGGGCCCCGAGGGGATCCCACTGTGGGTT